CATGCCTCGTGTGTGCATCCCAGCAGGGATGAGAGCAAGCTTGGTCTATTTTAGGGCTTCAGAGTGTGAGTCATCAGTGCTGTGATGTGGGTGATGCCTTCTCAGTGGGCTGGTATGCACACAGGCAAACACAAAATTATATCCTAGCTCACAGGTGCACATGTGAAAACAAACACATGAAAATACAGACACGTTGCACATGCCTATAAAGTATGCTCAAAAGGGAATTCACGGCTAGATCGCTCATTTGATTTGTGCAAGTTTGTGCAGGAAAACTCAAAGAACGGCCTCATGAGCAACAGTTACCTAAACTCTCTCTCTGAACAGAGACAGAAAAAAACAATGAAAGGGGACAGACATCTGAGCATTTATTCAGGAAATGATACGATCAAGTGACTAATCTGGTGATTTAATTATCTGTCAGTGTGCACGGCAATGACGACAATCCTGCCGTTTTTAGTCACCACTGAGGGCAGAAGAAAGCTTCAGATTTCAGAACAGCATCCAGCGTGGGGGGAAGAAATATCAGAAAACATGGTGTTTTTTTATTTTGTCACAAAGTTTAGTCTTCTTACAGTTTCCTCTGGATCTTGTCCATGTCCTCCCCTCTAGACATCTTGGAGTCCAATCTTCTGAGGCCAACTTCCTGTCCTCTCGCCTCCTCCATCAATTTCCCCGCTTAAATCTTTTCTCTCCCACCATTTTTCATTCTCTACTTCTCACAAATGCTTCCAGTATTTAGGCTCTTCACTCATGCTGATGGCTATCTATATCTTATGTCCGCTATTAGAAAAACTTCCCTGCTGCCATCTCCTCCATTTTTCTTTTCATGATGAGCCCTCCCCTTTTCGTTCCTCTTCAGATAAGCAGAAAGAAGAGAACTTTTAAAAACAGCAACATGGTTTTGCTTTTCAGCTGCAGCGCTCCTTAAGCTGGAGAACAACATCAAACCAGCATGATAAAGGTAAAGCAAAATCCCCTGCTTGTCTCCCCCCTTTTTTCTGTTGAGGAAACATCAACTTCAGTGATTTAGCATCACACGTTTTTTAGAAGAACTAATGGATGAGTCACAAAACAAAACCCTAAATCCTCCCATGTGTGTTTACCTTTCCATCACAGAACAAAAAAAACAAACAAACACAAAAAAAGAAAACAAAATGACGAGCACTCACGGGGTCTCGCAGGACGTCCTCCGTGTCACGCAGAGCTGCTCTCGGCTTCAGCTGCATGTCGTCGCTACATTCGTTGTCGGAGGCAGGTGGCGACTCGGCCAGATCCGGGAATTCGTCTCTCGTCCTGGGGCCTCGGAAGCGGATCTTGTCCAGGCGCTTTAGCATGGTCAACACCGCACACCTGGGCTTTACCTTAACATGGCGGACGGCAACCCTGCGGGCACAAAATACACGGGCTGCTGAACAGGCAGTAAAGGACGAGTCATTAACACTGAGAGGAAAACAATGTCTTTACTCCCCTGTTGTTTACTAAACTCACAGACCCACTGCAGTTCATGCAAACACGCTTTTCTTCATCGTTATATACAGATTATTTTTTACAGAATAGTTTGGTTTATATTTTACTGAATTAATTTGATGCACATACAGAGAAAGAGATTCAATTATTAGTTAAAAAATATTCACTGAATTGTAACATA